ACTAAACAACCTAAAACTACCTCGGGTACATATCTGTAGTACCTGATACGACAACGACCCCATCTGCCTTATTAACCAGAATCGATTCCCTCTACTCCACCTCATTGACCCCACCTATGCATTTACATGTTAACTGCTAAATGACGTTATTGATTGACACTATCGCATTACCTCGCAGCCAGAAAATCTTGCCAGTATCACTAGACAGTCAACAATAGCAGAACGCATGTTATTTTAATCGGCTGATCACGAAATTTCGTGATCGTCTGTGACGATGTCCATTCATAGTATCAGGATCGAGTTAATGAAGACTTATTTTATATTATTGTTATTGTATTAGACTTATTATTGTTTTTATTAACTCCTGATAGTATGTGAACAAGTGTGCAAGTGTGTATGTGTACACGTGTGCGAGCGTGTGCACGTGTGCATGTGTGTGCATGTGCGAGAGCGTGTGTGTATATGTGTACGTGAGCATGTGTGCATGTGTACACGTGTGCGAGCGTGTGCACGTGTGCATGTGTGTGCATGTGCGAGAGCGTGTGTGTATTACGTGCACCTGTGCATGTGTACACGTGTGCGAGCATGTGCACGTGTGCATGTGTGTGCATGTGTGTGCATGTGCGAGAGCGTGTGTGTATATGTGCACGTGTGCATGTGTGTGCATGTGCGAGAGCGTGTGTGTATATGTACACGTGTGCATGTGTGTGCATGTGTGCATGTGTGTGCATGTGCGAGAGCGTGTGTGTATATGTGCACGTGTGCATGTGTGTGCATGTGCGAGAGCGTGTGTGTATATGTGCACGTGTGCATGTGTACACGTGTACGAGCGTGTGCACGTGTTCATGATTGTGCGAGAGCGTGTGTGTATATGTGCACGTGTGCATGTGTACACGTGTACGAGCGTGTGCACGTGTGCATGATTGTGCGAGAGCGTGTGTGTATATGTGTACGTGAGCATGTGTGCATGTGTACGAGCGTGTGCACGTGTTCATGATTGTGCGAGAGCGTGTGTGTATATGTGTACGTGAGCATGTGTGCATGTGTACACGTGTGCGAGCGTGTGCACGTGTGCATGCATGTGTGTGCATGTGCGAGAGCGTGTGTGTATATGTGCACGTGTGCATGTGTACACGTGTGCAAGCGTGTGCACGTGTGCTGTGCATGTGTGTGCATGTGCATGTGCGAGAGCGTGTGTGTATTATGTGCACGTGTGCATGTGTACACGTGTGCGAGCGTGTGCACGTGTGCTGTGCATGTGTGTGCATGTGCAAGAGCGTGTGTGTATTATGTGCACGTGTGCATGTGTACACGTGTGCGAGCATGTGCACGTGTGCATGTGTGTGCATGTGCAAGAGCGTGTGTGTATATGTGCACGTGTGCAGCAGCATGTGTGCACGTGTGCAGCAGCATGTGTGCACGTGTGCAGCAGCACGTGTGCACGTGTGCAGCAGCATGTGTGCACGTGTGCAGCAGCATGTGTGCACGTGTGCAGCAGCATGTGTGCACGTGTGCAGCAGCATGTGTGCACGTGTGCAGCAGCATGTTTGTACGTGTGTATATGTGAATACATGTTTCTACAGACGTTGTCGGCAGTTCTGCAAGTCGTATTGATATGTTTCCATCGGTCTTCATCCAATTAAAAAGCCATACGTACCACCCTTCAATAGCTACTGACACAGCTGACCTGTACGTTTACATACAGATGGTACTTGTATTTACCTGAGCAGCCCAGTAGATAGACGCAATGACCCACGGCAGTCCTAGACCGAGAAAAACGTTTACGGAATTGCTCCCTGTCACGTTCCCTGCAACACACATGTGTAATGAATATATACAGTGCTGTATAGGCAGTCACTGAGACAGATACTCACCTCTAGATAAGAGATATGTTAATTATTAAGCTGACTGATGGGTAAATATAGGAAGAAACTGGGATCAAAAAATATGGCTACCAGACGAATAACTACATATATAAACTTGTAACATATAATTATATACTGTCCAAACATCAATCTAAGCAAATTGTGTTAAATCGCCTATTTTTTCAGTTATTATATTGTTATTATCGTTCCGAATTATTAGTTTGATCAACGAATAAACAAGCACCGGAATAAATAATAATCTACACTCTATAATGTCTACTTTATATTATTTTTCATACAAATGTAAACGTTTAAAAAATCAAACTATTAGCTATACTCTAGTTAGGTAGAGCTAGCTTAGCAATACTCTACAGTCAAGATAAATCATCCAATACAATAATATAACGATGACGACATAGATATGTATATAACCAAGTCACGAAGGTCGACCGACCGATAGAGTTGTCGGCGTATCGCTCCATGGTCGCCGCTTGCTTGCTGGCAAACAGGTCCGGCAGACTGGTGCCGAGCGCCACGAGCGTGATGGCGGTCACCGAGTCATCTAGACCAATCAGACATCCAAAGATGCCTAGCAGCAGAGCGACGAGTTCGTAGAGAAAAAGCAAGTATTAATTAACACGCACGCATATATTACTTCATACACGCACGCACGCACACACAGACACGCACACGCATGCACGCGCTCATAAACGCGCACACGCGCTCATAAACGCACGCACGCGCACATAAACGCACGCACGCACGCGCACATAAACGCACGCACGCACGCACGCGCACATAAATGCACGCACGCGCTCATAAACGCACGCACGCACGCGCGCGCTCATAAACGCACGCACGCACGCGCACATAAACGCACGCACACGCTCATAAACGCACGCACGCGCACATAAACGCACGCACGCACGCGCTCATAAACGCACGCACGCGCTCATAAACGCACGCGCACGCTCATAAACGCACGCATGCGCATAAACACATGCTAAATCGGGTACCTAACGTTATTCATATATAAAGCTCTATTCCCAACGTCTTCTACATTAGAACATTCTCACACAAGATAGTGCAGAGCAGAAGTAAAAGCGAACACCACGTCTTATTTGACACCTTCGCTACAGTTAATAAGTAATTATACAGTTATTAAGTGAACAATGGGCTGCAATTCCAGCTGGAATATTTACGCTCTGCCGCTACTTACAACTAATGCATCTGCTTTCGCTGCTTCTCGTGCAACATTAACAGAAATTTGTAACAATCAGAGACCAAATATACGACACGCGCGCATATCGCCCGGGAATAAATACAGCAGCTTATTAATATTTACGCGTTTATCTATATTAAATAGGGCTTACCGTTTACCCCACAGGCACTTGAAGCGTTTCAATAAAATATATACGCAGGGGTCGTGTGCTGTGCACGGCGACAGTTAAATACATAGCTATTTAGAATAGCTATTTAGAATTTGCTATATATATATAGCTATATAGAATTTCTGGCACACGCTTTCTTACCTGCTATATATTTAACTGTCGCCGTGCACAGCACACGACCCCTGCGTATATATTTTATTGAAACGCTTCAAGTGCCTGTAGTTTACCCCTGATATAATCAGCATATATATATATATCATCGACCGTCATTAATATTAGCATGCCACCTGTCCCCACATTATTCACCGACTACAGCAGCAGCAGCAGCAGCAGCAGCGGCGGCGGCAGCGGGGGTCCAGCGTGGCACACTGCACCCACGGGCATTGTGCTCACACGCTTCCGTGAGTAATGGTCCCCAGCTAAGTAAAGGTCCCCAGGTGAGTAAAGGTCCCCAGGTGAGTAATGGTCCCCAGGTGAGCAAAGGTCCCCAGGTAAGTAAAGGTCCCCAGGTAAGTAAAGATCCCCAGGTGAGTAATGGTCCCCAGGTAACTAAAAGTCCTCAGATAAGTAAAGGTCCCCAGGTGAGTAATGGTCCCCAGGTAAGTAAAGGTCCACAGGTAAGTAAAGATCCCCAGGTAACTAAAGGTCCTCAGATAAGTAAAGGTCCCCAAGTAAGTAAAGATCCCCCCAAGTAAGTGAAGATCCCCAGGTAACTAAAGGTCCTCAGATACGTAAAGGTCCCCAGGTAAGCTCCTGACGGCTAACGACGCGCGCCTCTCACCTGCGAGGTCTCCTACGATGGCGGTGAGGATGCCGATCATCATGAGGGAGATGCAGAAGCACAGCCAGCCGCCGAGGATCGTCGGGGGAGGTATGAGCGCAAACAGGATCTACAAGCAAGAAAATAGTATAATAGATTATAGAAAAAAAATAAATATATATATATATAGATCATCATGAGAGAGACACAGAAGCACAGCCAGCTGCCGAGGATTGTCGGGGGAGGTATGAGCGCAAACATGATCTGTAATGCTTTAAATTGACTACGTCACGAATTTTCTAAAGTGATATTTGCAAAAAAATACCTGATAAGATTACCTGATTAGATTTAATTACCTGATAAGATTGTTTCTCAACTAGTTAAAAATCCTAAAAATCTGTACGATTTGATATTATGATCCTGACATTAATTGCTTGCTATAGGCTATGAATGAGTCACGAGTGTATGTTTACATCGAACAATATAGTAAAATAGGAAGTATAATGCAACAATTTAACCATAAAAAAATGAACAGAATTACTTACATTCTGTGAAAAAGTAGAAATATTTTTTTTAGTTTTACTATTTACGGTGATGTAATCACTTTAAGCAACCCTTTTTACCATTCATAAAACATATTATCAAGAGTACATAATAGAGATCTCTATTATGTACTCTTGATAATATGTGTGTGCTATATAAGCGACAGTAAAAGTTAGAACAGAGGTCATTATAGTCTATACTCCCCGACTGCTTCCGGCTAGAATTCTACAGGATCTACGAGCAAGAAAATAGATTATAGATCATGCCCAGCTCAGGTTCCGATTTTAATATCATTAAATTGAGTTGATTATTTAATTAATTTTAATTAAATTTTTTAATTCTTTTAATTTCGAAATTATTTTTACTATTTTAAAATTAAGTTGAATATTTTAATTACAAATTCATTTATTTATTATATATTTTGCAATATTATTTTCCATTATGATCATCTGTAATTAAGACTCCAATTATGTCGTTAAGTCACTGTTGATTGGTCGTTGAACCCATCCCCAGGTAAACACCACATCGCCCCGACCACAACCTCTGCTCTGCAGGCATAATAATGATCACGTTTCCCATTAAATGACTTTATGGTCACAGATGTGACCGGCAAAGCTAAACGTGCGGTCGCTACGATTGCAGCCGGCTATCGATCTGGCAGTTGAAAGACCCAATGTCTACATACATCGTGGGTAGCTAGCTACAGGTTTATTCAGTTTATGGCTGTCAACACCGGCCGATAATATAATCAGGGGTTACCACAGCAATTACGTAGGGCAACGATGATTATTATTATTATTATTATTATCAATATTATTATTACCAACAAATAATTAAATAAAAAATATAAACAAATTAATGAGAAAAAATGAAACAAACGATTAAAAAAACAAAAAAAAACAGACAACAGACGGCGCCGGCGTCGTCAGCGCGCGCACCTTCCAGCCGAACGTGAAGAAGTGCATGAGGTAGTCGAACGGCGTCGCGTTCTCGACGTCGCCGCCATTGACGTTCATCGCGTCGTGGAATTGAGACTGCCAGCTGTCAGACCCGACGCGCAGCGAGTCCATGTTTACCTTCGTCATCATCACGACACGGCTCACCATCGAGTTGAAGTCTGATTGAGACGGCAAAGACAAGCGAGCATCCGTTATGATTTCCGTCTGATCCTCACCGTACGCACGGCTAGACCGAGGATATATGACAGGTATATATCTATATATCTATGTGTATATATATATATACATATATATACACACACTCATATATATACGTATATATATATGCACATATATGTATATATTTATACAAGCGAGCATCCGTTATGATTTCCGTCTGATCCTCACCGTACGCACGGCTAGACCGAGGATATATTATATATATATATATATATCTATGTGTATATATATATACATAGCCGATAATAGATATACAGCCGGTACAGAGTAGTGGACAGTAGGTCTGATGAGGATGTAGATGCTAGCTCGCACCCTCTATCCCGCTCGCACCCTCTATCCCGCTCTCAAGTACACATTACTGTAACATCTTACGACTAGAGCAGCGTATCGTTTTGGTCGTAAATCGGTGACATCGTAATAATCATCATCATTGGCAGTAATCAATATCATCAAGAAAGAAATCAGCAAATACATGTATACAATCCCTATTATCTACTTATCATCTGATGTATAGTATAGTATAGTATCTGCGTATAGTATAGTATAGTGTAGCAGTATAGTATCTGTACGTTGCATGACATAACATGCACTTGCAGACGACGATACACATTTGTTCAAACCACTTCTGTCGTTATCGTCAGGCTACGGCTACATTTCTGGCTATTTGGCAGACGACGAGAGCGAGGTGTTTACCGTCGTCGTTGACGATGGTTACTATGGTTCTCTTCGTCGGGCCGAGGGTGGCGCCAGCGGAGGCTCCGTAAAGCACCAGCTCAAAGTTCTCATCCTTCTCCACATCCTGGTCGTTTATGATTGGAATCTCTATCATCTTATTCAGCTGAGGAGAAGAGGAGAAGCAAGTGAACACGGAAAACAGCGTGAACGATGCGATTCGTGCTAAAAATTTCGTTTCAGATAACATTGAAGATACTAAAAATGATTGTTCACTAACGGAACTGCCATCTGCCGAGACTCTATTATGATATTTATACATAATTCATACTACTGTAATTATATATTGCAATTATATTGCATATTTGTATAATTCCATATATTATTTCCTGTTATAATTCATCATTAAATCAGCTTATATTAGCTTATATTAGCTTACATCAGCTTATATTAGCTTACATCAGCTTATATTATCTCACAATAGCATATATCAGCACGTATGAATGAACACTAGCTAACACCAGCTAACACTAGCTAATACCAGCTAATACTAGCTAATACTAGCTAACACTAGCTAACACAATAGCTAACATAACTCATGCTAGCTCATCACCTCTCCGTGTTCGAACGTGACCGTACCCTCGCTGCCAATATAATATACTTGTTAAGATTAGTGCATACTAGCTAACATTAGCTAACACACTAGCGTATACTAGCGTATAGTAGCGTATACTAGTGTATACTAGCGTATAGTAGCGTATACTAGCGTATACAAGCGTATACTAGCGTATACTAGCGTATACAAGCGTATACTAGCGTATACTAGCGTATACTAGCGTATACTAGCGTATACTAGCTCGATCATCACCTCTCCGTGTTCGAACGTGACCGTGCCCTCGCCGCCTATGAAGTCCTTGCCGTCGATGGCGGACTTGCTACGTGAACGCCAGTTGAGCGTCACGCGTCCGTCTGCGCCGTTCTTGCGCACGACGGGAACCTGTGACACGCCGACACTCTCCTTGACGAGCACGCTCGGCCGCTCAAACTCAAACACACCCGGCTCTGTAACAACGAGGGAGAGAGATGAGTTGGGCTTTCATAAACGATGCGACATCACACCCCGGCTCTGTAAAGATGAGGAGGAAGAGGAGAGATGAGGTGAGCTTTCATAAACGATGCGCTATCTACTACAGAACGCTGAAACTCAAACACACCCGGCTCTGTAACAACGAGGGGGAGAGATGAGGTGAGCTTTCATAGACGATGCGCTATCTACTTATACAGAACGCTGAAACTCAAACACGCCCGGCTCTGTAACGATGAGGAGGAAGAGGAGAGATGAGATGAGCTTTTATAGTCAATACGATCTGAATCTGAATGGTTACAGTGCAGACCCATTGCGGTATAACACACCCGAATGCATAGTTAACCCGAAAACATAATAAACAAAAACAGAATATGGCCGCTCGAACTCAAACATACCCGGATCTGCAACGTTCAAGAGCAGGAGGAGATGACGGTGTGGGCGTTGGATCGTCCATGCAATACAAATTATACAACCACTGAGCCATATGTAATAACAGCTGTTGCGTAGAGCTCAGTATAGACACATGACAGATGGACATAAGATATATGATATATACGGTCCAGACGTTTTTAAACTGGTGCCGCTGCACTAAATAATGCAATAACGCTGCAGTAAATTGTCTGCTGTTATTTATATAGTCCGTATCACTATAGGGTCTCTTAAAATATATGCGCAAACACTGCACACATGCACACATGCACGTAGGTACGCACATTCACACGTATTGCGCGTACACACACGCGCACGCACGCACGCACGCACGCACGCACGCACACACACACACACACAGACACACACACACACACACCCACACACACACACGCGCACGCACACACACACACACACACACACACACACACACACACCCCCACACACACACGCGCACGCACACACACACACACACACACACACACGCGCGC